TACAAGCGTTTCTTGGAATTCTAAATGACTATCACTTTTTTTTATTCCCAATGGGGAGATTGTCTTGCAACTCCTCACCGACCTCTCACAGATATAGCATATATAGCATATATGAATACAATAGTTCATTGTGGGTACAGAAGGAAACGAGGGTAGTGGGGAAAGGAACGGAACGGAAGGCCGCTTGCCGCTTGTTGCAAGGTACACAAAAACCGAGAATCAATTGGTTTTGGGTTTTTATCATCATCATCATCATTTTTCAGTCCCCATTGCAATCAATGGGGCAAAACATACACCATTTGTACGATTTAAGTGGGTTAAAGCTTAGAAAAGTAATAGAAAGACACGAGAGACATCCATCATGGATCAGTTTTGGACCGATAGCGTTTATGCGTTTAATCATTGGATACATCAAGTTTGTCTACTGTCCAAACCGCCATTTCCAGTAGGGTTTTTTTTCCCGAGATGAGACTTGGCGAATAGAAAAAAGGGTCACTTTGGTGATCTACTGTGAATAAGTGGATATCGTTTGACTGAATAAATCATCGCGGACGATCAGCGGCGCTTCATTTCGGAGGAGGACATGATAAGTTTCCTCACCCCCTACCCCACCTCAATCGAGCAATCTGTATAGAACAAAGTGACAAATGTTGATAGAAGGTATAGTGACATGTGTGAACTTGATCCCCCCCCTGTTGCTCGATTGTCCTTCGACAGGGAGAAGTTGATCAAGCAAGATGTGCAAGATGCGCACTGTTGAAGAAAAAATGTCAAGGTCATTCGTGAACCGGATTCTGTAGACCCATGTAATCTGAAAGTGCAAGAAGTCTGGGAAGTGATCTCCTATGGAAGCGTGAGAATGAAGGACATACCTGCTGTTTGTTTGGCATCTCAACCGCCCCGCTCACTGTTATTACTGTTGTTGTGGTAAACCCATGCTTGTCCACAAACCGGTGTTTCTGGGGAATTTTGTCCAGTCATTCATATACTACTCAGTATGAAAATAGATGCAAGATATAAAATAGCACTCATGAGATAACATGTAACCGCCAAGTGCCGACGGTACTGAGGTGAGACGACAAATTTAACGACAGAAGTCAGACAATATCATCCTGTGCTACGAGGCTAACTCCTTTGAATTGGCACGGCTACAAACCGCAACAAATCAATAACGAGAACCAAGTTGAATAAAACTGCTACCCCAAAATGGTAGCAATAAAGTGAAAGAGATACGGTATACGTCAAGATATTTCACAACCAAGATTCTGTGTGTGAGGGAGATCTTAAAGCATAAGTCCCGAATGGATTCGAGCAACATGGACCACCACCAATTCACTTGGAGAGAGAGAGAAGCATGTGATTGTGTGATCAGCTGTTTTTTTCGTTGTTGTTGCTGCTGTTGCGGTCCACGAACCTGACGCGCGCGAGCACAATTATCAACAACGGGAAGACGAATACCGATGAAAAGCTGGGCAATCATTCTGTGATGAGCCATCCTCATATGATCGTGCATCAACTTAAAAGCGATGCTATCAGGGCCCTAGCGGGGCATTGTGCTTTCTGGGATTAAAAGCGAACATAGGACGGATTACTGGCAATGGGGTTCGACCTATCTAGGCATATATGGCGATAAGCGGAGAAAATGGTAGCTAAGCGAAGACAGAGAAAATGCATTTCACATGCTATCTGATCCCATTCACTCAGATGTTCAATAACCTGTTCAGCCCCAGCCAGCCCCCAGTCAGACAGTTAAAGTACCCCCCCCCCAGGATAATGATATTCATTTCTAATTTGTCTTATATTAGAGGAATATCGAATATAATCAAAAAAGAAAGTTGGACTTAACCCGGGAAATTTTTCGGCAAACATATATGTCTATAACTGGTGATTTCGTTTTCAAGCGAATGCAAGATACAGAAGGCATCCGTTAGGGTTAATCAGACAGAGTCGATTCAGTCGGAAAAACTGGAAAAGCTTGAATCGAATTCCAACGCTTGTACAGGTTAGATTAAAGGAGATTGATAATCGCTTGATTCGCTAGGATGCATTCGGTGAACATTTAAGGGTTTTACCTTTCCGAGAGATAATTTGTCAATCGAAAATCCACTGCGCTCTGCAGCATGATCGAGAGCTTTTCACGACCGAATATATTGAGTGAAGCAATGGCCGAGAACCAGGAAGAGCACCTTTGTTCCCTCGGAGGATTTAGGTAGCTCAAAACTACAATCTACGATTAGCCCAAACAATAATTACACGACACAAAGCAATGGCGTTTGTCTGACCACA